CCCAGCACCGCGGAGCTGGGAGGCTTCTGGAGTTCTTGCCTGCAGTAGGGACCTGCTTTGAACTTGGTTTCATTTCTGGGGGTTTAACATGCAAAGTGCCTAAAGTGAACTTGCCTTAGGGTTTATAAAGCCCAAGCCATAGTTTGTGTGGTGGTGCAGTTAGTTTCAGGGTATTAGGTAGGTGGGTTTGGAACCAGAGCCACCCCAGGAAATAAAGTTAAGATGATTAAATCCTGCTAAAGGAGACTCCTGGCTTGGCGCAGTGGTGCTGGGGCGGGGAGGGAAGGGGGCGGTGGCCACCTTTGGCTACACTAACCATTCCAGTGAGTAACTTGGCCAGGAAGCCAGCCAGGCAGCCTCGGAGGGTACAAGAGCCCTTACCAAGAATCGCTTGTGCCTTCAGTCCCCAGGGGGGTTCCCAGGGAGCCAACCGGCAGGAAACCCTGCATCTGGAGGGGCCTGGGCACTCAAGAGCATGCTGACTTTTCTCTTCGCTTTCAGGGGAGCAGTCTGAGCGTGACCAGCAGTGGGTCTGTCCTTTGACATTCTTGTTTGTGAAGATGGAAAACTTAATATCTCTGGAGTCAAGCTTGTACTTGAGCTAACTGAAACCTTGTATCCTAAGGTATTCCCATATCTTTAGAATGCATTTATTCTCAATAAGGAGTTTCTACAAAGCAGATTTTGGTATATTGCATGGCATTGCTCCAGTGGCTGGGGAGAGAATTCCATAACACCAAACTGGGAAAAAAAAAAAGTTTTATTCTGGTAGGAGGCTGCAAAACTTGCCATAACAAAGTCCCTGACTCCTGAATGACAGCTGTGAGTGTGCACAGAGCTGACAACAGCTACCTTGTTTCCAGACATGAAGTTGGGGTACTTTGGAAGGGCAGGATTTGGCCCGCCGCCTGGTGTGAGAGTGAGGTGATTTCGTTGAGCACCACAGACTCTGCCTGACTTTCCTCCTGCACCCCCAACCTGAGTTGGGGGAGCACCTCCACCTCCGGAGGCCCCACACTGAGCCCCCATCCCTGTGTTCAAGGCCAGGGCAGTGCTACCCGCCAGAACAGAGAGGTCTCCGTCCTTCTGGAAGGCCAGGGAACACAGGGCAATAAAGATAACTCAGGCCAGACCGTAGCGCCTTGTTCTCACAGCCGTGACTGGACTCACTGGATAAGAGAAAACATTTTCTCCTCCAGCTGTTCGATGAGTAGTACCTTGTGCTGGGCACACCCTCCCCCACAGGCTGGGCACCTGCTTGGGGCCAGCCCTGGGCACACACAGCTCTCGGTGCTGAGAAGTTGAATAGTTTCTTGAGTCGACTTAAACAGGTGTTGGGTTGCGCTTGGGATTCGCTGGGCTCCGGACCATTTACCTTGTGGGCATATGTATGTTGGGGGGCCGCGGAGGAGCTGGGTAGAGCCTGAGCTTACAGGGGAGCAAGCCTGCTCTTTTTGTGCGTTGGGAGATAAACGCGGCTCTGTAGGAAAATGCTTCTTCCATCTGTGTTGCGACTGCTTGCCACTCAGGTGTGATAGCACCTTGGTGTGAGCGGCCTTGTGATGGAGCAGGCCCCTGTGAGGCTGAAGAAATGTCCGCAGATTTTGGCCCCGCTGGGTCCAGTGTGCTGATCTCTTTGGGTGCCTCTGGGGCTGCTGGTTTTGAACTTTTCTTCATCCTTTTGCTAACTCTGTAGGGAAACTTACACTTGGCACCTCAGAGGGCCCCAGGGAGCATCTTTGTCTAAACCCAACCCTGTAAGGAAAGCTTGTAGGTTGTTCAGGATGAATAGATTTTGTACAGCTGGGCCCTGTCTCCTATTCTCGAACTGTTTGCAGAACTTCTTGGAATAACAGGAAAAAACGAATATGAAGAAATAATTGCTGCTCTTAAGCAATTCTCGTGCGGGGTGTTTTTCAGGCTCGGGCCTTTGGGAGTCTTGGTCATTGAACTGGGCAGTGTTTGTTTCTTGGACAGTGCTGATTAGTGTCAGTGAGCAGTTAAGTGCTTCCTAGCTGGCGGCCGGTGCCAGGGGCTGGTGTGGGCGGCAGGGTAGTGCTCTGGATGCCGAGGAGGTGCAGGGAGCCCCACAGTGCACTCGGGGTACTCTGCTGTCACCCCTGGCCTGTCAGCCCCAGGCAGGCAGGGGTGCAGCCCTCCCCCCCCCCCAGGCCTAGAGCAGAACCTGGCATGCAGGAGAACCTGGCATCCCTTTCCTTTGGGATGCAGAGCCCGCTGGCACGCCGTGGCTGCCCTCCTCTCCAGGGAGGCCCCCTTGAAGCAGGTGGTGTTCTGCTGGCCCAAGCGCTGGGCTTTTGCATCCGAAGGGTTTAAGCTGGAGCCTGCCCACTGCCCTGCTCCTGGTCTCCCAGCTCACACTCCTCCCGTTAACTCTTTCCTCCCACACAAGTGGAATCAGAATCTCCAGGCAGGGCAGTCTCTGGGTCCTTTAAGTGGAAGCCTCACCGGTTTGGAAGAAGCACTGATTAGCCCACAGCTGAGGCTGCTTAGCTGAGCCGCGCGGCTCCCTCCCTCCACCCCAGCCAGCCTCTCACTGGGTTGCTAGTTTTGCTGATTCTCCCCCTCCTAGTTTCCTCTTTCCCTCACCCCCAGTGCAGCTGACAGTGGCCTGCTTTGTGCCCTGTGCAAGGCAACTCCATGAGAGTGGCCTGAGCGTGGTCTGGTGGTCTCTGGTCAGCTCTGTGCCCCATGCACCCCAGATGCCAGCTCAGGCACTCCCGGGAGCCCCCCGCCTTCTAGCAGCTGGGTTCCTTGATGAGACCTGCACCCCGCTGGCCTGCTGGCCCACTGGCCCTTGACCCTCCTGGCTGAGTCAGATATCTGGAAGTGATATTCCCCTTTCCCGCTCTCAGTCCAGCTTTGGGCTCTTTCTGGAGGCTTTCGACCCTGCTGAGGATGGTCTCCCCAGTCTGCTCCTCAGTCCTGCCTTGCACTATATTTTCTGGTTTGAAAACTCTTTTCTTTAACTGGATGAGCACCTAAGCCCCAAACCCATCACCAGATTGACTTCCTGTCGCATGTTTTGGGAATTGTCCGTGAATCTCCAGCCCCCTTTCCCCTTGCCATGATTCTGCTACTGCTCCTTGCCCACCCCCATGAAGGCAGAAGAGGGGGTGAGAGGGGGTGACCCTCCCCCTTACTGCCCTGTCTGCCCTTAAGGGCAAGCACGCCCTCTGTGCTCATGACCTGGCCTGTCAGGGTGCCGGGCCCCCGGGCAGCAGCTGACTCATGGAGGGCGGGCGGGCTGGGCCCTGGGGGGGACCGTGCAGTGGAGACTGAGGGGAGAGACCGGCCCAGGCCAGAGCTGCGCTCCAGTCTGGGCAGAGCTGCACCTGTCAGGCTCCCGTTTCTTGTCATGAACATAAGAGGCCAACACTGCCCAGCAGAAACCTGGCGAGAAACCCCATCAGCAGTGGCTGGGGAGGCCAAGCAGCAGGTGGAAGGAGCTTGGGCGATAGCCCATCCTAGGCAGTATCAGTGTGTACCGGCACAGACCCACGCGTGAGGTGTTTTCCTTGGAGGCCTGGAAGTCACGTGCGGGCTTGCTGTTCACGGCCCATCAAAGGGCTGAAAGCCACACGACGCTCATGGCCGCGTGTGGGCCGTGTGGGCCCAGCCCAGCTGCAGCTGCTCCCACTTGATTCTGCTGTGGAGCAAGGGCCGGCAGCACACCACACCGCTGGGCCGCGCTGAGCTGGGACAGAAGGGGCAGCGAGCTGGGCTTTGGGTTCTCCTCCCCGCGCATGCAGGCTCTCGGGACGCTCGGAAGGTGGCGCGTGCCCAGCTCTGCCAGAGCGGAGGAAAGCCGGCCTTGCGGCGGAGCACGGAGGTCGGTGCCCAGTTCCGTGCCCCTTTGTTTTCTTGTAGCTTCTGAGAGACTAATCATAAGGCATCAG